TATGTGTGTGTGTGTGTGTGTGTGTGTGTGTGTGTGTGTGTGTGTTTGTGTGTGTGTGTGTGTATGCGCGCGTACGTGCGTTTCTGTATGTGCACAGAGATTTTCCCGAGGAAGCAGGCTACAGAATGGAAGGCTTTGCTTCCTGACAGTGGGCCAGACGGGCCAGGGAAAGAGCTCCGCTTCTAACGCTATTCTGGGCTGGAAGGCGTTCCGCCCATCGGCCGCCGAAGCTGCTAAAACGGTCCGCTCCGCCTGGGCCGTTAAAGAGATTTACGAGGTGAAGGTCGTTGACGGCCCAGCCCTGGAGGATCTGACGAGCAGCACACAGGAGGAGGCCGAGGACGCCATCATGTCTCAGATAGCGGCCCACTGTCAGGGCGGCATAGACGCCCTTCTCTTTATCGTGCGGTACAACCACGAGCTGAAGGAGAAGGAGTGGAGGAATATCAAGACTCTCCGCGCCGTGCTAGGACGGGAGGCGTTTGAATCGTCTGGGATCTGTATCGTCACCGGTGGAGACTATTACCGTCAAGATCACAACGGTACTCCTTTTGAAGAGTATTGTAAAAACGTCGACGGACCTATGAGGCAGTTGTTTGGGATGTTTGGTGGTCGTGTGGTGCTGTTCGACAACAATACCAGCGACCTGCGAGTGAGAGATGAACAGGTGAAAAAACTGATGGAGCGCGCCGAGGAGATTAACCCTGGCGGAATCTCCTACCGTGACAATAAAGCGTTTCGCCGCACGTTAAAGAAAATGGATGAGCAACTAAGAGAGCGTCCATATTTGCGAGAGGAACCACGTCGTGCGTGCAGTCTGCTGTGTCAGTCGTTAACACAAAGTGACTCTCTCCAGGACTGGCGTCTGCAGCGTGTTAAAGAAAGAGCGGGAAAGCTGGGCGCACTTCTGGCCAAGATGAATCTACCTCGGAGCGAGACGTTTACAACTTTGGCCACAACAGTGAAGAAGATTCTGGACGAAATCAAACAGATCAGCCCCGACTGCGGTGCCGACAACCTCAGGGCCAATATAGAGAGTATGAAAGAACGTTTACAGGAGGCCTTGGTCTCCGTGGATAAAAAGTGGGAGATTTCTGTGGAGAAAGCCACCAACAGAAAGGCATGTGTAGTGTCTTAAGCCCCTGTTACACGCAACGATAAATTGTACCAGATTCGTCGTATGAGAGAACTGTCCGTTGTATCGAACTGGGTTGTCTGTTTACACGTTCCAATCTATCATCCAGTTTTCTATCGATCGAGGAGATTCCTCGTCATAAAGCCACCATGTCTCTTTGCGACGACAGCGATTTGCCTACACTCTGTATGTGAAGGTTTCGAGCTCTGGACCTAAAGAATGAAAGGCGAATACTGTACCTCTAGATCACGAGAGCCCCCCCCCCCCCCCTCAACTCCTGTACATTTAACATTTAACAGTGTCTGTACCGTGTTGTGTGTAGCCTAGAAGTAGAAACTTTGACTTGACTGCAGATGTGCAACGCACCGAGTGACCTTGATGCACAGCTTCACCCTTGACGATCAACTAAATAATAAAATTGCTGAATTATATATAATAACGCACCAAATCAGGTTTCTCGCGAACAACTTTGCTTATTTGGAGACGCTGATTCCGAATATGAAATCAGTTTTTGCCTATGGTAATTATTTACACAATTTTGAGCCCTGGGTTTAGCTCTGCGCGGCAGCAAATTTCGAAGTGAATCTACGTCACAACGCGTCTCCCTCAAGTCTGACCGTGAACGCAGGAAAAATATCAAGCTGGACTTGATTTCTCGACCGAGTCTCCAAACCATCGTTCAATCGTCCAAATTTTGTACAGTTTTGTGGTTACACCTAACGATATACCGTAAGATCGCTAGATCGTCCAGTTGTTGTACAATTTATCGTTACGTGTAACCGGGCAGATCTAGTCGTCTTGTGAATTATACAGGCCGTGAAGCTGGACCGGTTTGTTTGTTTGTGTGTTTGTATTATAGTTTTAGTAGAGCTTTTACGGCGCTCGCAGCTGCATAAGGTCATATTATGAGGGCCAGAAGATTAGAGGTGTTACAAGAGAGTAACAAACATAAAAAAGAAGAAGGGGAAATAAGGACGATAGATGTTTGATAGGAAAGAAGGAGCAAACCACACCAGACACCAAAAAGAAGGAGGGATCAGGATGATAGAGGTTAGATAGGAAAGAACGAACAGACCACACCAGAGCACCTGTCAACCACCCACTTAGCCTCCTTTTACTCTAGTTCAAGCATATTTACATTTGAACTTGCTATGTGGCATTTGAATTTGCTATGTGTTACATTTGAGATTTTTATGTTTACATTTGAACTTGCTATTGTTGTATTATGACATTTTATGACGTCATTTGTATATTTGGATTTGCTAGGTGCAATTTGGTCTTTCTATGCGGTCTTTGAATTTGTTATGTGTATATTTGAACTGAAAAAACTATAGTTCTAAGACATTGTGCATTGTTAGTTATTATCAGTGCTCGCACAATTACACTTCCCACCAATAACCATGTACATGTATTGAATAATCATTGAAAAATGTTCATATCATCCCCACAGCAGTCGTAATAATAACATCTATTTTCTTACTTTTATCACTGACTACATGTTCAGCTATCTTTCTTTTATTGTATTTCATTGTATTGATTCATTGTTAATTATATTTCTGTTAATTTGGGGGTGGAGGCGGGGGTGGTTTTTTAAAAGAAATTAAATTATTTATTTCTTGTAGCCTGTCCAATGCAGTGCAAGCTGCCTGCTCAGTTCACTTAAAAGTTTTTGTTTTTAGTTCGACTGAAGGAAAGCTGTGCCCTGACAAACCTGAAGTTGTGCGTTCAGTCAGGGATAAACGGAGAAAAGAACAAGAAGAATCGGAATACCATCATCTTGAGCGACATCATGAGCTTGGAACTTGATGGGGCGCCTGCAGAAGATCAAGACTTAGTGGGAGGAGCAGAAGGATATGTAACCAACCATTGCTTGGTACCATCAGCATCTACACACTTCGAGATGTGCTTCTTCAGTGGACGGAGCGGTTATAGGGATGCCCCTTGTGCAGTGATGTCGGTCCTTCACACAAGTAACACGTATTTTTAGTTCTTATGCCATGTACGGTATACGTTTGTATATGAGCGTGCGAGTTTGTCGTCAGCTCAACAGAACTAGGACGCAAGTTCAGCGACGAGATTGATAACAGCTACACTCAAGATAACAATTATTCTATCAGCTGCTCTTTCTAAATATCGCACATCATGTACCTTTTCCTGGGAAACATTCGTCTGATGTGCTTGTTTTTATTTTTCTAAAGGTCTAATCGGACCAACAGGTTTAGACCGGTATCACTGGATCTTATATTTATTGATGCATGGACACGAATGTACACATTGTTTATCAAGCAAAGGAATCCTTGCATGATATTTTTGTTTAGTAGAGATTATACGGCGCTCGCAACTGTATATGAACACCAGAAGATTAGAGGAGTTACAAGAGAGTAACAAACATAAAAAATAAGAAGGGCAGATAAGGACCATAGATATTTGATAGGAAAGAAGAAGAAGCAAACCACACCAGAGCACCCGCCAACCACCCACGATATTTGTGTGTGTGTGGTTTTTTTGGGGGTTTTTCTTGTTTAGTTTTGGAAAGTAGAGAGTCACGTACAGTTGACTGCTTGTGATTTTATGACGTCGGGGGAGTAAAACAATATATTAATATAGATCAACTCATCCGAAGTTCTACTTAACCCTATCCGTACGCTCAACTCATCCAAAGTTCTACTTAACCCTATCCGTACGCCCTGGGGTCATTAAAATTTTGTATTCCCGTGGTTGCATTTTTCACATTTTAGAATACTTCTAGTACGAAGATCTCTTTGAAAATTTCTGTATTTCTCAAAAAATCATTTTGACAGAATGCTATGCGAAGCGTGTCGGATCGGATTAACGAATAAATTTCCTCTTTGGAAAGTGGTTGCATAGAGTTCCCCACGTCGTATGGATACGATAGTAAAACACGACGTACGGATGGGGTTAACCGCTGGGATAATAATTAATAATAATATTAAATAGCATTTTGTATTGCGCATGTCCCCACTCGAAAACAAGCTCTGTGCGCTTTACATTATATTATTACCCCAGCAGACCATTGAACACTCAGAAACATTCTCAACTTCCCGGGAAGCTTGTTGTGCAATTGCGCAAGCAGCTGGTTAAGCGCTCAAACACTAACAAACTGAAAAGATATTTCACTGTCTTATCCGAAGTTCTACTTAACTGTTGGGATAATAATAACAGATAGCATTTGTATTGCGCAATCTCCGCTCAACAGCAAGCTCTGTGCGCTTCACAATCTATACTATTACACCAGCAGACCTGAGAGCATTCTGAAACAACCTCAACTTCCAGGAAAGCATACAGTGCAAGCAGCCATTTATAGGCGCTAAGACACTAACAATACATACTGACAAGCTCTTTCGCTGTATGTGGCCAGGTACCCATTCCCACCTGGGTGAAGTGAGGGAAGTTCGTATAAAGTGCCTTTCCCAGGGACACAACGTCTGGCCCGCGGCTCGAACCCTCGAACTCGCAACCTCACGATAACGAATCCGGTTGCCTAACCACTAGGCCACTGACGTCACAATCTGTAAAGGAGAAAAGGTGCTGGGACTGGAGAAAAAGATTAACAGAAGATTAACTCAAGCGAGTTCAGCACAACCGAAGTCGACTGTACAAAGAAAAGAAGGAGAAATAAGGAAATAAGGACGTTAGATGTTTGATTGGAAAGAAGGAGCAAACCACAGCAGAGCTCCTCATGCCAACCATCCACTTACATGTAGTTGTCTTAATGATTTCACTGCCATACTGAGAAGAAGAAGAAAAAAGGATTGAAAGAAGACAGAGGTTATTAACCTTTATAACCAAAGTGGTTGTGTGGTATTTTGGTAAAAATCGGGCATTCGTCAATTTGGGGCATATGAAGTTATTGTACTGTCGACTGTCGACTTTGCTTGTGTTGAACTCACTTGAGTTGATCTTCGGTTCTGTGGATCTTTTTATTTTGTTTTTGATTTAGTAGAGGTTTTACGGCATTCGCAACTGCATAATAAGGTCATTTCAGTTCCAAGGGGTGGATGTCAACAAAGAAGTCCTTACAGGGAATCAGACTTACTCTGCTCACCTCTCTAGCTTTAGCAGCACAAAGTATGCCTCGACTATATCCAAGGCACCCCGGAAATAGCGGGTCACAAGAGTGTATAAAAACATACAAAAGAAGTAGAGGAAAATGACGATAGTAAGGATTAGGAAAGAAAAAGCAGCAGTTCCCAGTTGTAGTTCAGGCAC